ATTTATACATATTTTTATATATATATAAAATCATAGAATAACTTAGGGTGGGAGGATACTTCAGGAAGTCATCTTGTCCGGCTGTCCAAGCCCCCACCGAAAGCTGGATCAGTTACTCAGGTTACTCAATGATCTAGTCCTCTTTTAAATGGGGCATTAGTCTTCATTTTCAGAATGAAGAAAAGCAGTTTTTAATAGTAGAAGTGAAAAGTAATCCGCAGAATTTTCCTCAAAAGATAGTTTTTTATAAGCAAGCAATTAGAAACATGTAGAGGGAGTGTCTCTTGTTACTGAGAATCAGTGGAAACTAAGCTATCCAAAAAGGTTGATTCTGCACAATAGTGGATGCTCTGATTTGTTGCTCTAATTTAGGCTCCAGCACTGAATTACTCCATACAGTTTATTGAGAGCCTTATTTTCTAGTTTCGGCAGTTTTTGAACTGTATGTTTGTTTAGACACTACTTTCATTTACGGGATACCTGCTTTATAAGTAAAAATATGTAGACTATAACTGTAAATGTGTTTCACTGTGGAGTCTTTTGACAGTGTCAGCTATTGGAATTATGGATTTTAGGGTCTGGTGTAAGTAACTGAGAACTACAGACTTGATTAGCTGAAGTTAATTTATGTTCAAACAACCTGATAAGTAGGCTGTAAGAACAAACAGGAAGGGAGCACCTTTCCTCTAAAAAAGATCAGTGAAGTTCTGATCCCACTGAAGTCAATGGATCAACGGGATTTTCCTGAACGTATTTAAATTCCTGCTCCCAGAATCAGGAAGTCTAATTCTGTTCTCTAAATCCTTACTGATTGGAAATGGCAGATGTATACGGATGGTGAATGAATGAAATGATGTAACTTTTCAAGACCAAATTGTCCTTTTATTTAAAATATATCTGTCACTCTTGCATTTGTGAAAAGTTACTAAGAAGGATTTCAGAATTGCAGAGAAAATTGAAACTCCTTAATTTTTTTTCTTATTTTTTTTTGGCTCGGTTTAAATTTTACTGGCACTTGCAAGCTGCTTCTTGATAGTAAGCATTTTATCTAAAGAGAGTCGGTCATAGGCTATGTTTTTAAAATAAATAATCTGAAATGTTTAAAGGAAATTTTGTCATCGTTTTGAGAAGTCTAATACAAATTAATTGAATTGTCTTTTCTATCAAATATGTGGAAGCTCACATTATTGCTGTGGTAGTGTTAATTTCTCTTTCCTCCTAGCAGCCAGAAAGTATATCAGGCTCTGTTCAGTCTTCAGTATTGGGGAAAGGTGTAAAACACCGACCTCCTCCCATCAAATTACCTTCAAGTTCAGGAAGTAGCTCTTCAGGTAATTATTTATTGACATGGGTGTCTATTTTCTATGTGTTCTGCCTAATGTAAAATGACATGATATCCCTTTAGTAAAGATGTAATTTAAAAAAAAAAAAAAAAAATCAGTATCTTCTCTGTGAAAAGAGCATCATTTTGTTGATTTCTGATTATATTGTTCACAAAATTGTATCCTAACAAATATTTTGGTTTAAATGTATTCAGAGAACAATAATGTATTTTAATTATGCTTTTTCAGGTAATATTTTTAGTCCACAACAGTCAAGTGGCCATCTAAAATCCCCAACTCCTCCTCCTCCTCCTTCTAAGCCTCCTGGTCTTTCTCGGAAACAATCTATGGATCTTAATCAAGTTAGCATGCTCTCTCCAGCTGCCATGTCTCCTGCGAGCTCTTCACAAAGTGAGTCACGACCTAAATTCTCCATTAAATCTTAGGCTTTTGCATAAATGCTTCCTGAGATAAACTTCTTAACCTGTGGAATGATGAAACTTAAGTGTACAGTGTACCCTAAATTGTATAAGTTGTGCAGCTTTAGGCAGGTCTCTTGTTCACTGTATGTATTTTATGTTTATTGTAACTGTGTTTGTTTTTTCTGTATATATGTATGCACCCTCTGTGTATACGTTTTAATACATTTTATGCAATTAGTATGATCTCCTCATTTATGAAAGGCTGGTAGATGATGTGATGAGATAAAATTCCAAAGTGTAGATTTTTTTTTTCCTCCAGTGTAAAAACAGTATGTTAGATCAGTTTGCCTTTACATAATTTAAGCATCTGGTTTTTTAAATGTTATAGGAGCTGGTGCAGTTGTATCTCTATGTATGTATATAATCTGATCAGTCCCAAGGTGGTGATACAATAAACGATAAGATGATTTTTTAAAACACTCCTACACTGTTTTACAAATCATTGCTGATTGCAAGTGTGGTGGTGATGCTGATGATAGCACCATATTCTCAGGTGTTAAAATGTAAATTTCAATAATAAGTGACATCCTAGTTTAAGTATTTTCATTAACACTGACAGGTTCATTGTAATCATAGCTATAGATCATAAATATTTTTTTAAAATATGTATGCGTCTTGAGACATTTCGTGAACAGATTTGTACAAATCATAGCTGCAGTTTTTCCATTTTTTATGAACAATTGTATACTGCACGTTCCAGTATCCTGCACAGTATTATAATATGCTTTTTGCATTAAATAATTTAAAATCTGGATAGCTCAAAAGGTGTAACTTTTCTGCCTTCTTGTTTTGCACAAAGAAAAAAGAAAACTTATAAAAGTTTTCTTCTAACATATTTACTCTGTTTTTATGTTAGTGCTACAAACTGTGTAAATCTGCTGCACACAGTTGTTACTTTAAGGTTTTGATCACAACAGCTGGACATTCACATTTATTTTCTTTCTTTCTGCAGGACATGAAAGCTAAAAAAAAAAACCCACAACCAGAAAAAAAAACAAAAAAACACCTCAAGCTTTTTGGGGTTTTTGTTTTCTTTTTCTGTTGATAAACTGTGTTTACTGCATCCACAACAAATATAGCTATACATGCTACATTTAAGTAGAAGGCATTACACAGTAACTTCTAAAGATGCAGTATTATCCTCTGGTTCTTAAATATTAAAAAAAATTTGATGAAATTCAGATCCACCCCACGATTATTGAACTAGTGTATGTTCTTTGTTGAATCTGTTGTTTTCCATGATACGTTTTTAACGCGATGCTATTGTGCAGGAAGTGCCTATAGACTACATGTTTAACATTTTAGGACAAAAACGTTAATTAGGTTAAAATGGTCACTAAGAAATTGTTTTATTTTAATTTAAGTATTTCTGAATGGAGTTATGACTTAATGTATGATAAATTATGGATTATCCTTAATGGAGGATACAAATCGGTGTATGACTTAAGGAATTAAGCATGGAGAATGGATTTTCTGTGTGATTATACTGCATCCTTAACAATGAGTGCGTGCTGCAACACTCTGTCGTGTAGAAATTAACACTTGCAGTCTAAAAAATGGAACAAATTGTCAGTGCTAAATAACATTCCATTAACCTTTTTATACAAAAAGGACTGGCCTTTTATAACAAACTAGCACTTTTTATTTTTCTCAATGAGCAGGGTCTGGAACTCCTAAACCATCTACTCCTACTCCAACCAACACCCCTTCATCGACCCCACACCCTCCTGATGCTCAGAGCTCAACTCCTATTACCCCTTCTGCCACCCCTACTCCCCAAGATTCAGGCTTCACCCCTCAGCCCACTTTGTTAACCCCATTTGCTCAGCAGCAAATGTCTCTGAGCCAGGCACTGCCTGTAATGACCATTCCTCTTTCCACCATGGTAACATCCATTACTACAGGAACAACCTCCACCCAGGTCATGGCAAACCCTGCAGGACTTAACTTCATCAATGTAGTGGGCTCTGTGTGGTAAGTTTTTGTTATGATAGTTTCTTAATTTGCCCTGGGTGGGTTGGTTGGCAGGGCGGTGGGGTGGGGAGGGTGGGAGTG